ATTGGATGATAATTTAACATGTTTGTATTTGAAAAGCTCTTAAATTATAAAAACTATAAAGATATAGCATGTTTGCATGATGTTTAAATGTGATGATTGTTAGTGGATGATGATGTGGCATCTTGTTAATTAGTGGATGATGATTTGACATCTTGTTAGTGGATGATGATGTGTCATCTTTGCATGTTAAGCTTAAGGAGTTAGAGGAAAAAAAGGAGATTAATCATTTAAGCACTAAGTGAGAATGAACTATATAAATATGTAGGATATTATAAAACATAGTAAATATATACATTGAAACATTATGTGAATTATGTGGGATGATAATTTAACATGCTTGTATTTTAAAAGCTCTTAAATTATAAATACTATAGAATTATAGATAATATAACATGTTTGCATGATGTTTAAATGTGATGATTGTTAGTGGATGATGATGTGACATCTTGTTAATTAGTGGATTAGTAGATAATGATGTGGCATCTTGTTAGTGGATGATGATGTGGCATCTTTGTATGTTAAGCTTAAGGAGTTAGTAGGAGATAACTTTATAGTACTTTATATTTATAGTAAGATAGGATAAGTGGACAATTATTACAAAGGTATATTTGTGCTTGGCAATTTGTACGCTATACACATGTGGAATGTGGACGATGCTCGGGACACATGGGAGGAATGGCGGATGGGCTAATGACTCACCTTTGAGCAGGAGGCGATGATGAAAATTTAGGAGATTATTAAATATTTCAAATTACATTTCTTATGAAACTTTATAATATTTTTTTCACAATTGATGATTTTTATGCATGTGCATTGATTATAATCACAATGCAATAGGTCGAAAGTTGGTTTCTCCATGTGTATGATCTCTTGTTGATTCGGAGCAGGTTTGAAATTTCAGAAACTCCGCCCCCACCGGCAAGCTCAAATCTCACCCGAATTATTTGTTTTATTTGTAATTTTTTATGAATTTGGTCAAATTTTATTCAAATTCATTTAAATTCAGACAAATTTTCAAATAATTTCGGCTAGAAATTTCTAAAATTTTGGTGACCCCGACATAAAATTAAATTTTGAAATTGAAAACCCCGAGTCGGAGTCGGAGTCCGACTCTTCAGTCTTCACCCGGCCTGATCGAGCAATATAATCAGATTGATCGATTACGACGACGATTGATTAGCAATATAATCAGATCGATCAATATTACGACCACGATTAATTATTACGTACGTACTCACGTGCACGTCTTGATCAAAGATCGATCGAGCTGCAGTACGTTCCGGCCCTCCGGGGGAGAGATAGATCGATCGATAGGTATATACCTACATCATGACGTCAGTGTCCGACCTCCCACCGGAGCTGGTCTGCCTCATCGGCCGCCGTCTCCACACCGCCATCAACGTGGTCCGCTTCCACGCCGTCTGCTCTGATTGGCGCCAATCGTTACGCCATATTCCGCCGTCGCCGCCGCCGGCCGCCGCCTTGCTGCCGTGGCTTCCCGCGCCGTCGTCCGGCGACGACGCCGACGCCGCCGCCGGCGTGGCGTGCCGCTGCGTCTTCTCCAAGACGAGCTACCACGCGCCGGGCCTCTGCTTCCGCGACAGGAGGGTGGCCCACGCCGACGGCACGGCCTCCTGGTTCATCAACGACAAGCTAGTCAACCCTTTGACCGGCTGGATCAACGTCGGCCGGGTTAAGAAGTATCCATGGATGTGGACCGATGGCAGCAAGGGCTTCTTCCACTGCGTCGTCTCCGGCGACGGCAGCCTCCTTGTGTACCGCTTGTCGCCGAGGTGGCGCTCTCCGGACAGATTATCTATCACGCCTACCACGGCGGCGCCACCGTGAGCGTGGACTTGGCCAACTGTTACATCCACAAAGAGCCACTGTTCTGGCTTCTCCGCACGCCCCTATGCCGCTACCTGACGAGCCCCGCAAGGTGCGCCGACACAGCTACCTCCTGGAGCTTCGCGGCGAGCTGCTGCTGGCCAGCGTTCTGCAGGACGACGACGACGACGACCGCCTCTCGGTGTCGGTGCACGCGTTCGATGTGGATGCAGCTGTGCACGCGCTCGATCCGGATGCCGCCGAGCCGCCGCCGGTGGCGGCACGGCAGCGGCGACGCTGGTGGAAACGCTGCCCGCCGGATGGAACGACGAGAGGTGCATGTGTTTCTTGCCATTGCCCTGCATTGTTGATCCGGTCCTGACAGAAGAACAGGAAGAAGACGCCGCCGCTAGGGCATATCAGCAGCGGCGGCAGCATCAGCAGCGAGACCTGAGGATCCACGTCAGCGACCTGTCGCCGCAGGTGGATAGCTGCCGGCTGCGAGAGATGTACAGCGAGCACGGGAAGGTGGTGCGGGCCGGCGAGGGTCGCGTACGACAAGCGGGGGGCGATCGCGAGGGTTTGGGTTCGTGACCATGGCGACGCAGGAGGGTTTCGACAGGGCCCTCGGCCGTTGCAACGGCGTGGAGAAGCCTGATCATCCCCTTTGTACAACGGGGATCGTCTTTGGCTGGTGTTTGTTGCTTGTCCTGCTATTGTTTTTAGCTTACTATGTTATCGGTGGCTTTTGTAGGTTGGTTAGCAGTTGGATGTAACTTGATTCCTGTTGGCCAAATCTTATTGCCCACAAGTGTGTATATTTTTACGGAATCGTTATATTTGTGGCGGCATTTTTTCCCCTCATTACAGTCAGATTTCTAATCGTTCAATTGGTTTAATTTTGCGATTTGTGCTTGACCTAAACCGAACCCATCTCATCATGTCCGTAACCAGTCCCTTGTCACGTTGACAGGCCCATTAAAATGGCGAGGCCAAAAATTTTTGAACAATAGCATTTCTCAACTTAAAATGTAGGTGAAGCTAAAATTACATATATAATTTTGAAACTTACATTATAAATACACCATAATTATATATGTAATTAAGGAACTTACATATGTAACTTTGGGAATTACATGACAATATACTAAAATTAGATATGCAATTTATGAACTCACAATGTAGATGCATACTGACCATTTTTTCATAAAAAATATGGCGGCATAAATATAAATTCCATTACAAATTGAAAATAAAATCAATTCCATTTCAGTTTTCTGATGCAATATGTGAGATTCAAATTTTGGAATGTCACAAGCAGACATTTAGTAATTAAGCAATGGAAACATGGTTACTTTCCCTAATATAGTAGATTAATTTCCATTAAAGGATTTTAAGTGTAATAAAAAGCATTTATCTCATATGATGAGGTAAGATGAAATATATTGATGAGTAGGATTTCCCAACCGACACTACGAAGACGGCATTGATGAGGACTCAAAGGTGACTGGCATCTTTGAGGTATACGGTTTGCAAAACACAAAAAAGCCATCGAGTCGAGCCAACACTTCCGAACCAAAAAAATAATATAAAAAAAATCCCCCACCCTACGGTGCTGTGGAACAAGAGGTGGAGGGCACGATAGCGCTGTGGCATTGTGAGGTAAGGGTGGCGAGGACAGCGACCATGCCATCGTGCAGGAGGATCTGCCAGGGGAGCTCCTGCCGATGCCTGATCCGTCATGGGAACGGCCGCTGAAGCCACATCCGCTGCGAGAACCCTCGCCGACACCGCATCCACCCGCTTCCGACGCCGTCGCTCACGCCGCCACCGACACTGCCGGATCCATTTTTGCTTGCTGTCACTATCGACTCAGCCGATCGAAAGGGAAGGGGGCAGAGGAGGAGAGGAGGAGGGGATAGGCTTAAGGTGGAGAGAAAGAGGGATGGCGAGAGGGGGCGGGGAGAGTAGATAAGCCCCCTCTCACCCCCTTTGTGCTAAAAAAAGAGGAACCTAGCTCCCGGCTCGGCTCGGTTTTCCTAGATGTCGGTTTTTTAATATATTACAAGTGTCGGTTGGACACCTATAATATATTAAAGATTCCCTTTTAAAAACACCGGTATCAATTGTATAGGTGTCGGTTCTTCTCCAGAACCGGCACTTATAGTTGCTTAAAGGTCTTGGTTTCTTTAATGTATTTTCAGCCCGTGGAGGTGTGAAAATGTTTATATGTGTGCCGGTTTTAGTACTTCCGGCATCTACACTGTTGACCTCTATTTGCCTTTATGTAGTAGTGATAGGAGGAAGGCACAATGTATTGTTCTCTTTACTGAAATTTTGTTTACAACAGATACTTGATACAGAGCCAGTACAGAATTTCGGGGAAATTTAACTTAACTCGTGATCAAGAGTTATATAGGCCATAGTGTGTCGCTTTACCAAAAGTGTGAAATATTTCCCCTGTCCCTTGTGGTAAATTTGTACGAACAAATATTAGACTGGCGAATGGAGAGTAACCCGCAAATAGTTAAATTTCCTTTTTACAGTACTCCTGTTACCGGTGTCTCAGAAAAAGTGACACCTACAGGCACGCGGCACGCCATGGCAAGTGCAATATTGTGATGTCAAAATGCGTACTACGTACTAGTATGTGCAAAGGTCGTTTGATTAACCAGGAATTCCTCGTCTGCCTTAATGGTGACTCAACTCTAAAAGTTCTATACCAACGAATATTATTAATTTATTATTATACCATTACACGCCGTTGGGCGCGACTGATGCTGTTGGCCAGGTGCATTTCAGCAGTAAGATTCAAGGAAGAGACGACATCCTTACTTCGACAAGGGAGTACACCGAACATGGAATAATCTCTGCAAATAATTAAGCCGTCCATTTCACCATTGGAAGTAAAGCAAATCCAAGATATATCCTCTCAAATTAAATCAAGTTTGTGTCAAGGAAATCAATAGTTTGGACAATACGTGTCTGCGTGTTCGTAACTTCGTATAAAAATCTACCGATTAATTAACCCGTAAGCTATGCTGCGGCTGCACGGGCACATGGCACGCTACACGATTCATTAACTTAAGGTGATCCTTGTTGAATTAATCCAAAGAGGCTGTAGCCTATATATATTTATCTAGACCAATCATCCCATCATCATCTCACAATCATCAGAACCAAATCCACAGCTGAATCAAACGCACACCACACAGTCTACAGCGGATCTGCTTGCAGAGCTACATCTTTCAGCGCCTACTGATCACGACGACAGACATGGCTTCATCGCCTCGAGCTTTCGCGTTGGTGTTTTTCGCAATCGCGGCCGTCGGCTGCACTCAGCTGACCACGGCCGACGACGCGGCTCCGCCCGTGTGGCAGAAGGCGCACGCGACGTTCTACGGCGGCGCCGACGCGTCGGGCACCATGGGAGGCGGGTGCGGGTATGGCGACCTGTACTCGCAGGGGTACGGCACGCGGAACGCGGCGCTGAGCACGGCGCTGTTCAACGACGGCGCGTCGTGCGGGCAGTGCTACAAGATCGCCTGCGACCGGAAGAGGGCGCCGCAGTGGTGCAAGCCCGGCGTCACGGTCACCATCACCGCCACCAACTTCTGCCCGCCCAACTGGGACCTGCCCAGCGACAATGGTGGCTGGTGCAACCCGCCGCGGCCGCACTTCGACATGGCGCAGCCGGCGTGGGAGAAGATTGGCATCTACAGCGCGGGCATCATCCCGGTTATCTACCAAAGGTACATAAAATATAATTTGACAGCAAAACAAAAATATCATTTTCGGACATATTGTACCTATGACATGACGATAGAACAGATTTGTAACAATTTTTTGTAATGTTTTCAGGGTTCCATGCATAAAGAAGGGTGGGGTGCGGTTTACCATTAACGGGCACGACTACTTCAATCTTGTGCTCGTGACAAACGTTGCAACCACTGGTTCGATCAAGTCAATGGACATCATGGGATCCAACTCAACCGACTGGATGCCAATGGTGAGAAACTGGGGTGCAAACTGGCACTCACTATCGTATCTCACAGGGCAGACGCTCTCCTTCAGGGTGACTAACATGGATGGCCAGACGCTTGTCTTCAAGAACATTGTGCCATCTGGATGGAAATTTGGGCAAACATTTACAAGCAAGCTGCAATTCAAGTAACCAATTCCCAAAAATTCAAGATTGGGTTTCTATGGCCTGTGACTGATTTGTCATGGATATTTGCGTTGTGTATATATACACTGTAAAGAGTGTTGGATTGTGCTTCGGTGCTCGATTGTTCACGGTTGCACAACTGATTTCCATTGTTTATATATATCTGATTTATTGATGTATATACTTATGTTCATATCCATATGTAGGGGTGGGTACTTGCACATGTATATCAAGAGATGTTCATCCTCTTCATTGAATCAAAATATCTTCAAATCAATTTGTACTACTCTCTCATATCAACTTGAACCGAACTTAAAACATAAATTAAAAAGGAAAAAGTACAAATTACCCTCCCGAACTATCGTGGTCGTCCGAATTACCCCCTAAACCATAAAACCGGACATTCTTCACCCCAACTATGTAAACCGGACGAATTACCCCCCTCAACCCAATCCACGGTGGTTTTGGTCTATGTGGCGTACACGTGGCAGTCCAGTCAGCATTCCATTTAAAATTTTTTTGTGGGACCCACCTGCCATACACTCATATATACTCTCTATACCTCTCTCTCTCTCTTACCGTCTCATGGCGGGCGAGGCGGAGGGCGGCGAGTGGGGGCGGGCGGTCGGCGGCGGCGCCAGGTGAGGTGCCGGTGGGCGAGCTTGCCGCCGGACACGCCGTGGAGGTAGGCGTGCCCCTGCGCCGCGTCCTGCGCCAGCTTCAACCTCGTCTGCCACTCCAGTGGAACACGCGCCGGTCCTCGGTTCTCTGAAAGAATCCATTGCCATCGTCATCGTGTAGACATTGATGAGAAGAAGCCATGAGAGGAGTCAGGAGAGAGAGGTTACGGACCATTGAGGAGGCTGTGGAGGCTGCCATTGGGGACGTAGTCGAAGACGAGGAGGAGCTCGTCGGCCGACGCGTAGAAGGCGCAAAGGCTGACGACGTTGGCGTGCCGCCACGTGCCCATCTCCCGCGCGAGCTCCCGCTTCCGCCGCTCGTCCTCCCGGGTCGTGCCTTCCCTCCGCCGCATCCTCTTCATCACCACCACCTCGCCAGCCTTGCCCTCCTCGACGACGCCGGCGTCGTCCACGATGACGTCGTCGCCTCCCATGGCCACGTGGTACGTCGTCGCCGTCGCGCCCTTGCCCAGTATCTCCGCGGCGCCCCGCATGAGCGTGCACACGTCGAACTCCACGCAGCAGCCGTCGAAGCGCACCGTCTCCTCCCGCGCCATCGAGCTGGTGCGTGAGCTGGCGCGCGGCCTCTCCGGCTTCTTGTTCTTCAGCCACAGTACGCCGCAGCTAGAGTGCCGCGGCGACCAGCGATGCCACTGCTGCGCCCACCGCCGCCATGATCATCACCACCATCCACCGGTCATTGCTCCTCCTCCTCCCTCTCTTCGGTTCGTGTGACGTGTCAGCGACGCCACCGCCGCCCACCACCCACCCCCCGTGCGCCGCCTCCGCGTCGTCTCCCGCCGCCGCCTCGCTCGCGCGGCCGCCTCCTCATCTCGGGCCGCCTACCGCCCGCCCCCGCGCGCCACCTCCGCCTCGCTCGCGCCGCCGCCCAACGCCCGCCCCCGCGCGCCGCCTCCGCCTTGCTCGCGCCGCCGCCAACTGCCCGCCCCTGCACGCTGCCGCCCTCCGCCTCGCTCGCGCCGCCGCCCACTGCCCGCCCCCGCGCGCCGCCTCCGCCTCCGCCTCGTTCGCACCACCGCCGACTACACGCCCCTGCGCGCCGCCTCCGCCTCGTCTCGCGCCGCCGCCCACCGCCCTCCTCCGCGCGCCGCCCTCCGCCTCGCTCGTGCCCTGCCTCGCCGCCGTGAGACGGTAAGAGAGAGAGAGGAAGAGAGAGAGAGAGAGTATGAATGTATGACACGTGGGTCCCACACAATTTTTTTAAATGGAATGCTGACTGGATTGCCACGTGTACGCCACGTAAACCAAAACCACTGTGGATTGGGTCAAGGGGGGTAATTCGTCCGGTTTGCATAGTTGGAGGGGTGAAGAATGTCCGATTTTGTGGTTCAGGGGGGTAATTCGGACGACCGCGATAGTTCGGGGGGGTAATTCGTACTTTTTCCAATTAAAAACTATAGTTCATAATTAATAGGAAAACATCCGTTTTACCATCCACCGGCTCTTACCTTAGTCCAATTCAATCCCATCAACTCTAATAACAGGAAAAATCATACAACTCCACAAAATTGTCACACAGCCGTGTGAACCAGGCGGACAAGTGAGCCTACCACATCTGGGGTCAGATGAATAATAACTTGTCAATCCTTCCTCCCCAGTCCCAAGAGGAACAAATGTAGGCAGAAGAGGCTTTGTTGTCAAAATCGTCCCATGATGGTGTCAAGAGTGTAGGTTGATAAAATTTGTGGGTGGGGGATGGGGGGTGTTAAAGGTGTGGAGATGATGGATGTGTGGAAAAGCAAGATTCCGCTGAAAATCAAACATTTCATGTATTCAGTGGGTACCATCCATCTGCTATGCAGTTGGTCTATAGGAAATGGAAAGGGGGTGATGAGAAGTGCAAATTGTGTATGAAAAGGGAAACAACTAAGCATATCATGTTTAACTGTCCAATTGCTAATTTATCTTATGTACTGTTAGGGAAGCACTGGAGTTAGATAACATCCCTAGGGAGCTGTGTGGGTGCATTTATGTGTTCAAACACAAATTTAAGTCCAAATTGTGGGTGTTTTTTTTTTTGTTGATGCTTTGTGCTGGTCTATGTGGTTAACTAAGAAAGAATAGGTGTTTGAAAATATTTTGGTAAAAATCTCCATTGCAGGTGGCGTATCCTTGATGCAAAGATGGAGAATTTTGCTAAAGGAGGGAGATTGCGCTCTGGTAGATAAATGAAAAGAAATGATCCTGAAGAAATTGGGGTGTCTTTGACAAGTTGTTTTGCTTGAAGTTTTGTAAAGTTGGGTAGTGTGTGGAAACTATATTGATCCCTCGAAGGGATATCCCCTCGTTTTTTTCATGTCACTTAAATAGTTATAAAAAAATTTAAAAAAATTAAGAAGATGTATTAACATGTAATATATCACTTCACAAACATACAAGTTCAAATTCAATTTCTGCACCTGACAGCTTCCTTATGTCACAGTCTTCGTGTAGGTGTTGTTTTTTCTCTATAGTCGTTGTAGGCCCGATGATGACCGGCCACGCATAGCGGCGGCTGGTTTTGTGGTAGGCTCCCCTTTTAGTGGCATGTGTTTGTGTGGTAGACGAGTAGTTCCTATACACATACTTTGGTACACAATAAAGCTCGATAGCCTTGATGATAGTGTTTCTTGTAACTCTTTTTTCTTCGATCCTAATATTGTTCGGATGGCCTTTCTTTTGTCATCCCGACAATAAAAAATACTTTTCCGGCGAATTATCCATTGCACGCGGTTGGACACGATTACAATTGCTGGCCAGATGCAGAATCACCCGTACTATTAAAGGAACAGACGCCATCCCTTTCTTAAACAAGGAAGTACCGGAACATGAATAATCTCTGCAAATAATTAAGCCGTCCATTTCACAATCTGAAGTCAAGCAAATTAAGAGATAGTCCTCTAATCGAATATAATCAAGCAAAAGTTCAAGCAAAGATCGACGAAAAAGTACACAGATAAGAGAATAATATATAGTTTGGGCCATAATACGTGTCTGCGCTTACACAAATCGTTGGATTAAACCGCAAGCCACGCTGCGGCTGCACGGGCACGCACATGCATATGCACGGCTGCACGCCACAAGCGTCGTTAATTAACTCAAGGTGTCATCGGTAGTCCTTGTTGAATTAATCCGAAAAAAAAAGGCTATATATATCTAGGGACCTAATCATCTCACAATCATCTCAGATCAGTTGATTAGTTAATCATTAGAACCAAAAGTGACATATATAGCTAAATCACACAACCATCTTGCAGCTGCAGCTTTCAGAGCTACAATCTTTCAGCGCCTATTGATAACGTCCATGGCGGATATGGCTCCAGCTCGAGCACTCGCCTTGGTGTTGCTCGCAGTTGCAGTCGGCAGCGCGTTGATGGCCGCGGCCCAGGATGCGCCGTCGCCACCGACACCGATGGCTCCGTCTCCGTCTACCGATGAAACTCCGCCCGTGTGGCTGAAGGCGCACGCGACGTTCTACGGCGGGGCGGACGCGTCGGGCACCATGGGCGGGGCGTGCGGCTACGTCGACCTGTACTCGCAGGGGTACGGGACGCGGAACGCGGCGCTGAGCACGGCGCTGTTCAACGACGGCGCGTCGTGCGGGCAGTGCTACAAGATCGCCTGCGACCGCAAGAGGGCGCCGCAGTGGTGCAAGCCCGGCGTCACGGTCACCGTCACCGCCACCAACTTCTGCCCGCCCAACTGGAACCTCCCCAGCGACAACGGCGGCTGGTGCAACCCGCCGCGGCCGCACTTCGACATGGCGCAGCCTGCTTGGGAGAAGATTGGCATCTACCGTGCTGGCATCATCCCGGTCATGTACCAAAGGTATATAATTTAAACTGAGAAAAAAAAACATATTGTTTTTGACATATAGCACCTATGGCATATTTTAAGTTGTAACATATTTGGTGATATTTTCAGGGTTCCGTGTGTGAAGAAGGGTGGGGTGCGGTTTACCATCAATGGGCATGACTACTTTAATCTTGTGCTCGTGACAAATGTTGCAACCACTGGTTCGATCAAGTCGATGGACATCATGGGCTCCAACTCAACCGACTGGATGCCAATGGTGAGGAACTGGGGTGCAAACTGGCACTCGCTGTCGTATCTCACCGGGCAGATGCTCTCCTTCAGGGTGACGAACATGGATGGCCAGACACTAGTCTTTAGGAACATTGTGCCCTCTGGATGGAAGTTCGGGCAAACATTTGCAAGCAAACTGCAGTTCAAGTAATTTAATTCCCGGAAAGATTTGGGTTTCTACGGCCTGCGACTGATTGGTGATGAACATTTGCATTGTGTGCAAATGTAAAGATACATTAATTGTAAAGATTGTTGAATTGTGTGCTTTGGTGCTTGGTTCACTGTTGCACATCTGATTTTTATTGTTTATATTTGATTTATGGATGTATATACTTATGTTCATATCCATATGAACGGGTGGTTACTTGTATTTAAAAATATCTTTAAATTATTTTTTACTACTCTCGTTATCAACTTCAACGTAAACTTATCAAATCATAAATAAAAGGGGAACATCCGATTTACTAGGTCAGTACATCAGGTCTGGGAGACTGGGAGACTTGTGAGCTCATTGAGGCTCGGCTCATTTCAGTTACGAGCTCGTTTTCTAATCCAGCCAAACCGAGCCGAGCCATTTTTTTTTTAAAAAAATAGGACTAAGGCTTTACAATTTGTTAGTGAAACTTATATAAAAATTTTCCCTAATGAATGTTTTCTTAGTTTATAGGTGGAAGTTTGGGTGTGTCTAGATCTCGGGTGCCTGATTCTTTTTTTTTTTGAAAATTTTAGTCATTTTTATGATCCGTTAGATGAAAATACAATGTTTCTCATCAATGGTTAAACAATAAAGTATTGTAATAATAAATTTACAAAATTAAATGAAACAAACATATAACTCATAAAAATCTACAAAATTGTGTGTGTTTTGGATTATGCAAAGGCCATAAGTATGGTTCTATCAACTTAATGTAATCGTCTGATATTAATAAAAGCTTTCCTTTATAAAAAAATAAACTTGGATAAAAATAAAGCATAATAATATATAACAAAAAAAACTGCAGTTAAAATAAAGGTTGCAATGAGTAATGCTGCTATTAAGACGGGTGGCCGATGAAGTTTCGTATCAATGTATAGGTGGTGCCTAAACACGGGAAGACTGTAAGGATAAAAGGGTTAATTTGATCCGTGCTATTATAAATGTCTATTCAGATAAATACCATTATAATTCGTCTATTTGTAGCCGTGCCACTCGAGAAAAGAGAGAGATACAAGCTCCTGGAGATGACTCATTTTGCTATTTCGCTGAGCAATTCTGGAAAGTTTGGCAGAGACCATGTAAGGGTCTGTGTTCATGGATGCTCCATCCCCTGCTGCAAAAGGTTGAGTGTTTTAGCTTGTGTCAAACTCCTGCTGTGATAAACTTCACGTTTCTGGTAATAGAAAACGGAGGAGGGCGGCCTGCCCTCTCTTGCTAAAAAAAACCCTAAAATTGCATAATGCACAAGCACAACACTGTAATTTTAGGTTTAGTAATATGTACTCCCTCTAGTTCTATATTTCATATTATAAATCGTTTGACTTTTTTTAGTCAAACTTGATTAAGTTTAACGAAGTTTATAGAAAAATTTAGTAATATCTAGAATATCAAATTAGTTTCATTAGATATAACAATTAATATATTTTGATAATATATATGCTTGTTTTGTGTTGAAACTACAACTATATTTTTCTATAAACTTGATCAAATTTAATTAAGTTTTACTAAGAAATAAGTCAAACAATTTATAATATAGAACAGAGGGAGTAAATTTTAGGTGCCCGAAATATAGCAAATATATGCAAGTGTTTCTATAGGAAAATTTACTTTTATAGACAAAACTGTTGAAACCACCTTACGAGAAAAACAGCGTCAATGGAAAAAACTGCACAAAATATTTTTCTACGTCTAGGTATATGTATGCATTGTGGTTTAAGCAATTATATAAAAATTTCATAAAATTTGACAAGATAAATTATGATGATATAAGATACCACACAAGTCTAATTTTTGTCTACGATATGAAGAAAAAAATTACAAAATTTATTTATGTTCAACAAGTACTTTTCACCATCTGATTTTATTAATTGTTTCTCTAATTGTAAATTAAATTTAGCTTTACAGGTTTGTCTTTAGAATTATAAGATTTCAATTAATGTAAATTTTCTTTGACCGTTCTAAGTCGTATGCAAATAATGAATACCATTGTACCAAGTATAGAAAATCCTTGTCCGCCATGGCAAATGGGTGCAATTGCAAACACGCACCTATGTTCGGATTGATGCCAGTAGCAACCAAATATTCTTCTTCGGTTTGGAATTACTTTATCTTTTTAGATTTAGCTTTGTCCTGTCATCAATTTATATAAAATTTAACAATAAATAAACTAGTAAAAATATTTCCCACGGTGAATAAAAAAACCTTATGGTGTTTAACAATATAAATTTATGGTCAACATTAGAAATGTTTAACTTGGTACAAATATAAAACGATAAATAATTTAAAAATGAGAGCAGATATATAAATGAAGATATCAAAGCATGTAAACCTTTTACACCCTAGAATTTTTCTTCTTGCAGAACATGCTGTACTCATATCTAGGTAAGTTCTATAATATTGTTCAATATTACTCAATACTTATACGTGTTGCTTAGGCAGGAGAGAACAAGAGCAGAGAAACGTCAAAAGGCGTTCATTTGTTATATAGTATTATCTCGCACCAATCAAGGAGGAAAACAGAAAGCAATACAAGCGCGACATACTTACGTCTGCGGCGGCCGGCGGACACACATTTCTTCGGATTAATTGGCGAGCAAGTTATAGTAGTACTGCGGCTGCGCCGGCCGGCGATGCATGCACATGCGCGTCGCCGCGCGCTAGCTTCGTCCCGTGGCTTTCCAGAGTTCACACTACTTCATTATTGGGATTTCATTAGCCACTAATGCAGCAATCCAACAATGACCGAGCGATGGCTATATATACCCATCCAATCATCAGGAGATCACCAAGCAAACAGACATCACATAGAAGATCAACACAAAGCAACAGAGCAGTGTTGCTTTCAGAGATAGATAGCTCCAGATAATTAACTCGGTCATCAAGTCTCAAGGGCCTAGTTACAGAGTTATCCGATCATGACGACAGACATGGCCCCAGCTCGAGCGTTCGTGTTGGTGCTGCTCGCAGTCGCCAGTGCATCGACGGCCGCGGCCAACACAGCGACGACGACGCCCACAAACCCGGTGGCTGCGCCGACCCAGTGGCAGAAGGCGCACGCGACGTTCTACGGCGGCGCGGACGCGTCGGGCACCATGGGCGGGGCGTGCGGATACGGCAACCTGTACTCGCAGGGGTACGGCACGCGGAACGCGGCGCTGAGCACGGCGCTGTTCAACGACGGCGCGTCGTGCGGGCAGTGCTACAAGATCGCCTGCGACCGCAAGAGGGCGCCGCAGTGGTGCAAGCCCGGCGTCACCGTTACCATCACCGCCACCAATTTCTGCCCGCCCAACTGGAACCTTCCCAGTGATAATGGTGGCTGGTGCAACCCACCACGGCCGCACTTTGACATGGCACAGCCGGCCTGGGAGAAGATCGGCGTCTACAGCGCAGGCATCATACCGGTCATCTATCAAAGGTACCAATACAAATACTCCAATTATTTTGGACATTATGGAGAGAACAGTGCATATCCTGACCGCTGCTTCCATATGAAAATATCCTACTCTTGCGATGATTTCTACAGGGTTCCTTGCGTGAAGAAGGGTGGCCTGCGGTTCACCATTAACGGTCACGACTACTTCCAGCTAGTACTGGTGACCAACGTCGCGGCGGCAGGGTCAATCAAGTCCATGGAGGTTATGGGTTCCAACACAGCGGATTGGATGCCGATGGCACGTAACTGGGGCGCCCAATGGCACTCACTGGCCTACCTCACCGGTCAAGGTCTATCCTTTAGGGTCACCAACACAGATGACCAAACGCTCGTCTTCACCAACGTCGTGCCACCAGGATGGAAGTTTGGCCAGACATTTGCAAGCAAGCTGCAGTTCAAGTGAGAGGAGAAGCCTGAATTGATACCGGAGCGTTTCTTTTGGGAGTAACATCTCTGGTTGCCTAGCAAACATATGATTGTATATAAGTTTCGTTGTGCGTTTATTCTTTCGGTGTGTAAAATAACATACATGCTTTCCTGATATTTTCTTGTATATATGTACACACACACGACAAATCCTTCCATTTCTATTATTATTGAACAATTTAATTGCGAGGGCGAGTACTTGTCTGTTTACCTTTTTTTTTTCAGATGGCATTTTATAGTTTAACCTTTCATGGACCGGCAGTAGTTCTAACCATGAATGAAAAGAAATCATAGTCCACACCACGCAGGGACATTGTGGTCATTTTAGACAAGACGATTTGATTAATGTCTTGTATGATATGGTCGACAGTGAGGACTAACAAACATATGGCATATTTTATTACCGGCGAGTTAAATAAATTTATGTCACAGTAATAAACTGCCTAATAAATGCACGCCAGAAAATATAATGATAAAAAAAAGAAAAGATACATAAGTCCATTGCTTCTACTTTTTTAAAAATTAAATCCAACATTTTCTATTTTTTGGTATAAACTTGGAAGTACTAGTTGGATATGCAAAATCATCTAACCTCCATATATTTCATCAATTTGTTTACTTTACATATGGGAGAGGATAGTATGTCAAAGAAAATGACAACAAGCTTACAAGTTTCTTATTTTAAAAGTTCCGCTAACTTATCAAGCATAGTGTGCCACGCAAAACTGACAACAAACCAACAAATTTAAGGAGCGCCTAACTTATCATCTATGACATACCGCACAAAATGATAACATACTAGAGAAACTTTATTGCACAAAAGGAAATTTATCCATAAGGCAAAGGAACATCTTAAGGCTTTGGATATACATTTACCAACAAGCATTGTTTGTATTACCCCTAAAGCGCAAGACATGTCATCCATGAGTCATAGTGTGTATATCTCAACATTGCAAAGCTACCTTTTTTCTATTATACTTTTCGCATTATAGGCTAGATATTATCTATACATGTCAACAAACTCTATCCCTACGTCATATCTGAAGATTCTTTTCTTCACTATATAAGTTGGCTTCCCTGTCATTGAACTCACATCAACCAGCCCAAGTTTCCAATAACATCCTCAAATAGCTATGGCGACCATAGCTTTCTCTCGGTTATCTATCTACTTTTGTGTTCTTCTCCTATGCCATGGCTCTATGGCCCAGCTATTTGGTCCGAACGTAAATCCATGGCACAACCCTCGGCAAGGAGGTTTTAGGGAGTGTAGATTTGATAGACTACAAGCATTTGAACCACTTCGGAGAGTGAGGTCAGAAGCCGGGGTTACAGAGTACTTTGATGAGAAGAATGAACAATTCCAGTGCACAGGTACATTTGTCATCCGACGTGTCATTGAGCCTCAAGGCCTTCTGGTACCTCGATACAGCAATACTCCTGGCATGGTCTACATCATCCAAGGTTTGTATAGCGGAATACATTGTTCATATGGGTACAAATTATGATTCTCCATGTTACAATAATGTCGTTTTAGGTTATATCCACCTGACATGGACATTTCTAACTTTCAGGGAGAGGTTCTATGGGATTAACTTTCCCCGGCTGCCCAGCAACCTACCAACAACAATTCCAACAATTCTTGCCTGAAGGCCAAAGCCAGAGCCAAAAATTTAGGGATGAGCACCAAAAGATCCACCAATTTAGACAAGGAGATATCGTTGCACTGCCAGCTGGTGTTGCGCATTGGTTCTACAATGAAGGCGATGCACCAGTTGTTGCTCTATATGTCTTCGACTTAAACAACAACGCTAATCAGCTTGAACCAAGGCAGAAGGTAACTAAATTTCTTCACCATTTTTGTTTCTCATTGTCATATATATGAATATGTTGCAGTTCATGTGGCAAAACTTTATCATTGATTCCCACTGATAAAAATTTTAGGAGTTCTTATTGGCGGGTAACAACAACAGGGAGCAACAAATGTATGGTCGCTCAATCGAGCAACACTCTGGGCAAAACATATTTAGCGGTTTCAACAATGAGCTACTAAGTGAGGCCTTAGGCGTCAATGCATTGGTAGCAAAGAGGCTACAAGGCCAAAACGACCAAAGAGGAGAGATCATACGGGTAAAGAATGGCCTTAAACTGTTGAGACCTGCTTTTGCACAACAACAGGAACAAGCACAACAGCAGGAACAAGCACAAGCTCAATACCAAGTTCAGTACAGTGAAGAACAACAACCATCTACGCGTTGCAACGGTTTAGATGAGAACTTCTGCACAATCAAGGCAAGGTTGAACATCGAAAATCCTAGCCATGCTGATACTTACAACCCACGTGCTGGAAGGATCACACGTCTCAACAGTCAGAAGTTCCCCATTCTTAACCTTGTACAATTGAGTGCTACTAGAGTAAATCTATACCAGGTATTTATCAAAGTGGAGTTTTGTTCACTCTCCATCTCTGTCCCCCCTATATTTCTATAAAAATAGTTTTATCTGTGCCACCATTTATATATAACATTGTTCTCTACTCTCTACAGAATGCTATTCTCTCTCCGTTTTGGAACGTTAATGCCCATAGCCTGGTGTATATCGTTCAAGGGCATGCTCGAGTTCAGGTCGTTAGTAACCTTGGAAAGACGGTATTCAATGGCGTTCTACGTCCAGGTCAATTGCTGATCATTCCGCAACACTACGTTGTCTTGAAGAAAGCAGAGCATGAAGGATGCCAATACATTTCATTCAAGACCAATGCAAACTCCATGGTGAGCCACCTTGCAGGGAAGAACTCAATATTCCGTGCCATGCCAGTGGATGTGATCGCTAATGCTTACCGCATATCGAGGGAGCAAGCACGAAGCCTTAAGAATAATAGGGGAGAAGAGCTCGGTGCCTTCACTCCTAGATATCAACAACAGACCTACCTAGGCTTCTCAAATGAGTCGGAGAACGAGGCCTCAGAGTGATGTACTAATGAAATAGTATAGGTGTATCAAAAAAAAATAAAATGCCACAAGTATGTGAAACTTTGTGGCGGTTCTGTTCTAAGTTTATGAAGCACTAATAAAATGCTACAACTGTTTTATTCATGCAATTTTTGCTACAGGACATCGTGACTTCGCGATTTTAGCTGTAGGACACTACGCGAAGTGACTTTTGGGAAAAGACACTACGTAAAGATGGAAATTAGCTCGTGGACAACGCGCCTATTCGAATATTCATCTTTAATTGAATTGGTGAGAGAAACCACATGAAAATATTAAAATACCCCTGGTCCCAAATGCCAAGTCTTGCATCTCTCTCTGTCTATCTCTCTCACACAGAAGCGTCTCAACTAGCATGTTGTACTACCGGGAGGTCTGCCGCCTGCACAAGGATGGGAGGAGGCAGAGCACCTTGACCACCTGGTCCATGAAACTCAAAATCACATTACCTGCATGGGCTGCCGCTACTAAGCAATCAACTGTGGACTCATAAACACTTGAACCAAATGCATGATCCGCAGTCCCCAATTCGACAACCCCAAAGCGACATTCCCAACACTGATGAGAAACGATTTAGAAGACGACCCATCCGACGACGAAGACACTATCGCCGCCCTACCAGGGAGAAAGCTCGACGGGATCCGTGGTCAACCCGCCTAGATCCAGGCCAGCGCCATGGATGGACCCCACCCCACCACCACCGATGCGGCCGACGAGATCGGGACCCCTATCTAGCTCACTCCCTCGAGGCGGCCGCAGGAGCGATCTCTCACCAGGAGTCGCGTCGGGAGGAGGAGGGATGCCGCTCTACACTATCGACGCCCTTCAGTGCTAGAGAGATACAAATAGAGAGATGAAAGAGCTGACTTGTGGGCTCAGGGGTATTTTAGTACTTTCATGCAATTTCTCCCTCCTATCCAACTAAAAATGAATATTCCAATGCGCGCGGTCTCCACGAGCTAATTTCCACATTTACAGAGTGCTTTCCCCCAAAACTCACTTCGTGCAGTGTCCTACAGCTAAAACCGTAAAGTCGCGATGTCCTATAGCAAAATTTTCCTCGATTCATTTGTTCTATCAATATAGATGAGACCGTGTTATGGCAGTTTACATAAAAAGATTGGGGCAATTCCAAATTTACCACTCCTTTGAATCGTTATTACGAGACTGTCACTAGAAAATTGCAAAAATACCACTAGAACTATCATTCGAGTGGCATCCTTGCAAAATTAAAAAAACCGGTGGCAAATTTGCAAATGCCCCAAAAAGATTTGCCCATACCAGATACATCTCAAAGAAGATTTGATGCAAAGTATAACTTGTTAATGCTATATTTTAATCTCGGAATTATTATAAACAGAAAAAGAAATGCTTATTATCTAAAAGGAAAATATGGCGTGTTTCCCCTAAAAAAAAGGAAAATATGGCATGTGGCCTAGTTACGTAATAACATATAAGGACCGATTCCTTGGAGAATCTTATCCAAGCATCTTATAATGTGACCATATGAATATTTGATTCCCCTGGCTAAGTTATATGACAATAGTTGTGTGTTTGTCTGGGACACTTGTGTAAGGAAGGAAGACGATAGCCCTTGAATACCTAGAATTTTTTTAGGGGCCCCCTTGAGTACCCGAAGTCTTGCATATATATTGACTAGATGTGTATATATATTGGGTACATTGTGGATGGGGAAAATAGGTATAGACCTAGGCAACAAAATTGGAGAGGCTTTAGGATGTTGCTGGGCTTTAACGGGACTAATCGTAGTCGTTTGTCTCGATGAGCCTATGTGTTTATACCTCCTAGGTCCTCCATGTTCATCTTGGGCTTGTAGGGATAAAGAGAAAAAAAGGCAGATTTTTTTATTTTTTAAACTTTTAAAATTTTCAATTATGAAAATAAACCCTTTCAACACGTAATTCCAAGAACCGAACCTTTTGGCCACGCCAGCCAAATTGCCTTAGCAAAACCGCAAAATAACACTGTCACAACAGTCTGGCTAGCGCGGCAGCGTTATTTGGTCATGCTGGTCTAGCTAGTGTGGCATTGTTATTTTTAGTTCCAGCTAGAAGAAGTCCTACTCGGACATAACTTGATCGGCTACCTTACAGAAAAATAAACAAGTCCGATTCAAACAAAATTTGATTGGCTCAAGACTCCATCTATAGAAAATGAAGCTAAAAAGAAACGTTTCCTAATACGGAGGCTAAAATAAAATAACTCTAAACTTGATACACTTTCCAACTGAATCAAATATAATTACATCATTAGTCACTCCATTGACCCGATCTTGACTAACAGTAGTTACTAAATTTTGCCGCTAACAGGCTGGTATTCCTTATTTGTTTGGTGCTGTACCGGTTTGAGGATAACCTTCTAGTACAACAATAGGTAATATATGCGTGAAATAGTGTTTCCTAGGAGTGGGGCATGCCATATTTTACACACTGACCACCATTCTATATGCATATATGTAACAAATATATGATATACCTCTAACATGGAAATCGGTTATATATATACAATTAGTTGACAAGTTTGGAACATACACTTTCCATGTTAGATCTGCTGGTTTCATCTTTATTGTTATACCGGACATGCCATTTTGATTTTTTTTATGTTTTAAACTTTTTTACTTTTAAATTTTAAAAATAGACCCTTCCAAAATTTATTACTAGAACTTGAACCTTTTGGCCATGCCACCCCGTCTGGCATGGCAAAACAATACTGACACGCCACACACAATGGGCGTGACAATTTTGTCCTACCATGCCAGCAAGGGTGGCATGGCCAAATATCATTGACACGCCAGCCAGACCAATGTGACCAAAAAACAATGGCACACCAACTAGACTAGTATGACCAAATAACGTTGCCACGCTAGCCAGACCGGTGTGACAGTGTTGTCTTGTGGTTTTGCCATGCAAATTCGGCTGGCGTGGCCAAAAGGTTCGGATCTAGGAATTATGTGTTGAAAGGACTTATTTTCAAAATTAAAAATTTTAAAAGTTTTTTTAAAAAAATCTTCATTTTTTTGCTTTGTCCCTACAAGCCCAAGATAAACATGGAGAACCTAGGAGGTATAAACACATAGGCTCATCAACAAAAATGACTATGACTAGTCCCGTTAAAGCCCAGCAACATCCTAAAGCCTCTCCAATTTTGTTGGCTAGGTCTATACCTATTTTTCCCATCCACAATGTACCCAATATATATACACATCTAGTCAACATATACACAAGACTTTGGGCTATTACTCAAGGGGGGGCCCAAAACCAATTCTAGGAATTCAAGGGCTATCTTCCTCCCTTGCACAAGTGTCCCAAGACAAACACACAATTATTGTTATATAACCTAGCCAGGGGAATCAAATATTCATATGGTCACATTATAAGATGCTTGGATAAGATTCTCCAAGGAATCGGTCCTTATATGTTATTACGGAACTAGGCCGCACGCCATATTTTCCTTTTACATAATAAGCATTTCTTTATCTCTTCATAATAATTCTGAGATTAAAATATAGCATTGACAAGTTATACCTGGCACCGAATCTGCTTTGAGATCTATCTACTATGGGCAAATCTTTTATGTAAACTACCAAAACATGGTCTCACCTATATTGACACAACAAATGAACAAAACAGTTGTAGCATTTTATTAGTGCTTCATAAACTTAGAACAGAACCGCCACAAAGTTTCACATACTTGTGGCATTATTTTTTTGATACACCTATACTATTTCATTAGTACATCACTCTAAGGCCTCGTTCTCCGACTCATTTGAGAAGCCTGGGTAGGTCTGTTGTTGATATCTAGGAGTGAAGGCACCGAGCTCTTCTCCCCTATTATTCTTAAGGCTTCGTGCTTGCTCCCTCGATATGCGGTAAGCATTAGCGATCACATCCACTGGCATGGCACGGAATATTGAGTTCTTCCCTGCAAGGTGGCTCACCATGGAGTTTGCATTGGTCTTGAATGAAATGTATTGGCATCCTTCATGCTCTGCTTTCTTCAAGACAACGTAGTGTTGTGGAATGATCAGCAATTGACCTGGACGTAGAACGCCATTGAATACCGTCTTTCCAAGGTTACTAACGACCTGAACTCGAGCATGCCCTTGAACGATATACACCAGGCTATGGGCATTAACGTTCCAAAACGGAGAGAGAATAGCATTCTGTAGAGAGTAGAGAACAATATTATATATAAATGGTGGCACAGATAAAACTATTTTTATAGAAATATAGGGGGGAGAGAGATGGAGAGTGAACAAAACTCCACTTTGATAAATACCTGGTATAGATTTACTCTAGTAGCACTCAATTGTACAAGGTTAAGAATGGGGAACTTCTGACTGTTGAGACGTGTGATCCTTCCAGCACGTGGGTTGTAAGTATCAGCATGGCTAGGATTTTCGATGTTCAACCTTGCCTTGATTGTGCAGAAGTTCTCATCTAAACCGTTGCAACGCGTAGATGGTTGTTGTTCTTCACTGTACTGAACTTGGTATTGAGCTTGTGCTTGTTCCTGCTGTTGTGCTTGTTCCTGTTGTTGTGCAAAAGCAGGTCTCAACAGTTTAAGGCCATTCTTTACCCGTATGATCTCTCCTCTTTGGTCGTTTTGGCCTTGTAGCCTCTTTGCTACCAATGCATTGACGCCTAAGGCCTCACTTAGTAGCTCATTGTTGAAACCGCTAAATATGTTTTGCCCAGAGTGTTGCTCGATTGAGCGACCATACATTTGTTGCTCCCTGTTGTTGTTACCCGCCAATAAGAACTCCTAAAATTTTTATCAGTGGGAATCAATGATAAAGTTTTGCCACATGAACTGCAACATATTCATATATATGACAATGAGAAACAAAAATGGTGAAGAAATTTAGTTACCTTCTGCCTTGGTTCAAGCTGATTAGCGTTGTTGTTTAAGTCGAAGACATATAGAGCAACAACTGGTGCATCGCCTTCATTGTAGAACCAATGCGCAACACCAGCTGGCAGTGCAACGATATCTCCTTGTCTAAATTGGTGGATCTTTTGGTGCTCATCCCTAAATTTTTGGCTCTGGCTTTGGCCTTCAGGCAAGAATTGTTGGAATTGTTGTTGGTAGGTTGCTGGGCAGCCGGGGAAAGTTAATCCCATAGAACCTCTCCCTGAAAGTTAGAAATGTCCATGTCAGGTGGATATAACCTAAAACGACATTATTGTAACATGGAGAATCATAATTTGTACCCATATGAACAATGTATTCCGCTATACAAACCTTGGATGATGTAGACCATGCCAGGAGTATTGCTGTATCGAGGTACCAGAAGGCCTTGAGGCTCAATGACACGTCGGATGACAAATGTACCTGTGCACTGGAATTGTTCATTCTTCTCATCAAAGTACTCTGTAACCCCGGCTTCTGACCTCACTCTCCGAAGTGGTTCAAATGCTTGTAGTCTATCAAATCTACACTCCCTAAAACCTCCTTGCCGAGGGTTGTGCCATGGATTTACGTTCGGACCAAATAGCTGGGCCATAGAGCCATGGCATAGGAGAAGAACACAAAAGTAGATAGATAACCGAGAGAAAGCTATGGTCGCCATAGCTATTTGAGGATGTTATTGGAAACTTGGGCTGGTTGATGTGAGTTCAATGACAGGGAAGCCAACTTATATAGTGAAGAAAAGAATCTTCAGATATGACGTAGGGATAGAGTTTGTTGACATGTATAGATAATATCTAGCCTATAATGCGAAAAGTATAATAGAAAAAAGGTAGCTTTGCAATGTTGAGATATACACACTATGACTCATGGATGACATGTCTTGCGCTTTAGGGGTAATACAAACAATGCTTGTTGGTAAATGTATATCCAAAGCCTTAAGATGTTCCTTTGCCTTATGGATAAATTTCCTTTTGTGCAATAAAGTTTCTCTAGTATGTTATCATTTTGTGCGGTATGTCATAGATGATAAGTTAGGCGCTCCTTAAATTTGTTGGTTTGTTGTCAGTTTTGCGTGGCACACTATGCTTGATAAGTTAGCGGAACTTTTAAAATAAGAAACTTGTAAGCTTGTTGTCATTTTCTTTGACATACTATCCTCTCCCATATGTAAAGTAAACAAATTGATGAAATATATGGAGGTTAGATGATTTTGCATATCCAACTAGTACTTCCAAGTTTATACCAAAAAATAGAAAATGTTGGATTTAATTTTTAAAAAAGTAGAAGCAATGGACTTATGTATCTTTTCTTTTTTTTATCATTATATTTTCTGGCGTGCATTTATTAGGCAGTTTATTACTGTGACATAAATTTATTTAACTCGCCGGTAATAAAATATGCCATATGTTTGTTAGTCCTCACTGTCGACCATATCATACAAGACATTAATCAAATCGTCTTGTCTAAAATGACCACAATGTCCCTGCGTGGTGTGGACTATGATTTCTTTTCATTCATGGTTAGAACTACTGCCGGTCCATGAAAGGTTAAACTATAAAATGCCATCTGAAAAAAAAAAGGTAAACAGACAAGTACTCGCCCTCGCAATTAAATTGTTCAATAATAATAGAAATGGAAGGATTTGTCGTGTGTGTGTACATATATACAAGAAAATATCAGGAAAGCATGTATGTTATTTTACACACCGAAAGAATAAACGCACAACGAAACTTATATACAATCATATGTTTGCTAGGCAACCAGAGATGTTACTCCCAAAAGAAACGCTCCGGTATCAATTCAGGCTTCTCCTCTCACTTGAACTGCAGCTTGCTTGCAAATGTCTGGCCAAACTTCCATCCTGGTGGCACGACGTTGGTGAAGACGAGCGTTTGGTCATCTGTGTTGGTGACCCTAAAGGATAGACCTTGACCGGTGAGGTAGGCCAGTGAGTGCCATTGGGCGCCCCAGTTACGTGCCATCGGCATCCAATCCGCTGTGTTGGAACCCATAACCTCCATGGACTTGATTGACCCTGCCGCCGCGACGTTGGTCACCAGTACTAGCTGGAAGTAGTCGTGACCGTTAATGGTGAACCGCAGGCCACCCTTCTTCACGCAAGGAACCCTGTAGAAATCATCGCAAGAGTAGGATATTTTCATATGGAAGCAGCGGTCAGGATATGCACTGTTCTCTCCATAATGTCCAAAATAATTGGAGTATTTGTATTGGTACCTTTGATAGATGACCGGTATGATGCCTGCGCTGTAGACGCCGATCTTCTCCCAGGCCGGCTGTGCCATGTCAAAGTGCGGCCGTGGTGGGTTGCACCAGCCACCATTATCACTGGGAAGGTTCCAGTTGGGCGGGCAGAAATTGGTGGCGGTGATGGTAACGGTGACGCCGGGCTTGCACCACTGCGGCGCCCTCTTGCGGTCGCAGGCGATCTTGTAGCACTGCCCGCACGACGCGCCGTCGTTGAACAGCGCCGTGCTCAGCGCCGCGTTCCGCGTGCCGTACCCCTGCGAGTACAGGTTGCCGTATCCGCACGCCCCGCCCATGGTGCCCGACGCGTCCGCGCCGCCGTAGAACGTCGCGTGCGCCTTCTGCCACTGGGTCGGCGCAGCCACCGGGTTTGTGGGCGTCGTCGTCGCTGTGTTGGCCGCGGCCGTCGATGCACTGGCGACTGCGAGCAGCACCAACACGAACGCTCGAGCTGGGGCCATGTCTGTCGTCATGATCGGATAACTCTGTAACTAGGCCCTTGAGACTTGATGACCGAGTTAATTATCTGGAGCTATCTATCTCTGAAAGCAACACTGCTCTGTTGCTTTGTGTTGATCTTCTATGTGATGTCTGTTTGCTTGGTGATCTCCTGATGATTGGATGGGTATATATAGCCATCGCTCGGTCATTGTTGGATTGCTGCATTAGTGGCTAATGAAATCCCAATAATGAAGTAGTGTGAACTCTGGAAAGCCACGGGACGAAGCTAGCGCGCGGCGACGCGCATGTGCATGCATCGCCGGCCGGCGCAGCCGCAGTACTACTATAACTTGCTCGCCAATTAATCCGAAGAAATTTTCGGTTTTTCCCTGATTGGCGCAGAATGACGCAAAACACAAGCGCGGCGACGTCCAGGCTCCCGCAATCGCAAGCAAGCGCATGAAGGCAACGTTCAACGGCGGCGCCATGAAGAATGGGGTGGCGTGTGTTGTGTGTGGCCGGCGATCGAGTGAGGCATCTCTGAAGTCTGAACTGAAGCATCTCGAGTGTTTTGGACTCGTTTCTTTTCCTGGTGACGTTATGAGGTGTTTTTTTTTCCGGGGAGACGTTTTGATGAGGTGTTGATCAGAATTCATCACCTTGTTAGAATGTCAACAAGAACAATTGACGGAAGAAACAAATAATCGTTTTAAAAGTTGACAAAATCATCGAGGGAAAAAACGTTTTCAATTAGACAAAACAATTGACGAAATTCCGTTGTCAAGTAAACAAAACAATCCACGGAAAAGACAATCTATCTATGATATACTGAAAATCTATTAAAATTCCTACAAACACACTAAAACCGTCACGTGTATTCCTAGTTTCGTACAAATACTTCTAAACTGTCACATGACACTTTAACAAACCAGTGGACCTGATATTTTTATCTATTAGAATTTTTTTTTAAAAAAAACCAAAACAAGTAGTCACGTATTTGATGGGGCCCACCCTTCCACCGGGCGTACTCACGTACGTGCTTCCTCCCTCCCCCTCCTATCCAATCTCCTTTTTTAAATTATTAACATTTTTGAACATTAACAAATCTTAGATAACCACAATTTTCCTATAGTTATTTGTGTTCTTTAACAATTAAAAAAATTAAAAAAATTAAGGTGTTCTTTAACCTATAAGAAATATTTAATTTTTATCATATCCAAAACTTTACATATCACTTTAAACTGTTATGTAAAATAGGGAAAATTTGATAATGCTGATTATATGATCAATTCGCCAAATATGCATAAATAAATTAAGTTAGATCTATTATCTCTATTATTAAAAAATTGAATATGTTTTTGCCGGTACTTTGGTACGTTATCCGTGCACGAGTCGGTTTTTAAGTTTGTTCTTTTTGGAAATACGGATCCATATTTGAGTCGGTTTTTAAGTTCGTTTACTTTTGTAAATATAGAACAAATCGTATAATAAATCTCTTTAAAAAAACTCACGTGCTAACTCGAACTCCTAATTACAACTCAATATATAGGGCTTTTCTTACGTATCACTTCTATGTCCACTTTTCTTATGTATCAACTAGTTGGGTGGCCCGCGCAATTGCGCGGCTAGCACCTAAAAAAAATCATATATTTTTCAGTATGATTTTACTTAAAATTTATTAAATAGCTATTACGTTGTCTTAAGACTTTGAAAAGCCAAATCTTATCATCCCTGTATTTCTAATTATATAGTTTTTTAAAAGTCACACCAGCTACTACCCCTTACTTCTGTCATATTTCTTTTATTTGCTTGCTTGATCTACCACTATTTCTATTCATTCTCCTTAAAACCTTTAAAAATCAGATCTTATAGTTTTTATAATTTCTAGAAGTCCCATCAAACGCTGTCATTATACTCCTCTACAGGTCATCAACTGTCTTTTCTCTATATTGTCATTGGGATTTTACAAATCGAACATAATTATCGTTCGGGTTCATTTTTTACTTTCTAAAGTCCCGCTAAACCGTCAGCGGCTTTGCCATTGTTTTCCTTTATGGCACGCCCGCTGCCTCACTTCTTTATCGTCATTGAGATTTTAAAATCGAATATGATTATCATTATGTTTTTTTTACTTTTAGAAGTTCCAAACCTTTAAAAATTAGACCTCGTAGTTTTTAGAGTTTATAGTCTTGTTGGTTTCATTTTTTATAATTTTTAGAAGTCCCGTTAAACGATGTCACTATACTCCTCTATGGCCCATCTGCCGCCTACTCTCTATTGTCATTGGGATTCTAAAAATCGAACATAACTATCGTTAGAATTTATTTTTTATTTTCTAGAAGTCCCGCCAACCGTCGGTGGCTCTCCTATATATCCCGCCCGCTGCTTCTCCTTTTTATTATCATTGAGATTTTAAAAATCGAATATGATTAGCATTGGTTTTTTTTTTTACTTTCTAGAAGTCCCGGCAACCGCCTTGATCGATTGCTTCACGGCCTACCCGTCGTCCTTCATTTCAATCGTTATTAGGATTCTATTTGGTGTTTTATTAACAGTTATTGCATGTCGTATCAACCACCACCACTCTACTCCTTTATAGGCGTGTTACTTAATTAATCTCGTCATGTGTTTTAGATGGTATTTTCTTTCAATAGTCTTGATTTTTTATCACCAATTTTAGTTATTTATAAATGGTATTCCTAGTATTTTTCTTTTTTTAATTTCAGAATTTATTTTATTTTTCGTATTGTGTTCTTTTGATATTTTTATTTTTTATTTTCAATTTTAGTTGCTTCCAAATTGTATTCCTACTTTAACTCTCTTTTTAATTCGCCTAATTTCGGATTTTATTTTATTTTTTATCTCGAATTTTAATTAATCTACTATTAGGTTGTTTTATGTACTCTTATTTGCAGCGCTGCTTATATTTAATTTCGAATTTAAGTTAATTTTAAATTGCATTCCGAACTCTTCTTTTGTTTTTTTCTAATTTTGATTTTTTTTAATTTTTTA